AATGAAAGTAACTGAATGAGCATTATTTCTTCTTTGAAGGCGGAGGTTTCACGAAGCACCATGTGACTGCAATTTTCTGTCCAAGCAACTCCTCACCGTTCAGACCCTCGATGGCTGCAGCAGCTTCCTGAAGAGCTGCTATTCAAAGTTTGAAACAGATGAACAATCAGCAAAGAGATTGCCTGACCTTCTGCGTTTCGAACTCTACCAAAGCATATCCTTTGAGGAAGCCCGTTCTTCGATCCAAATTCAAATGAACATTCTTAATTTCGCCATATTCACCAAATTTATCCTGTACGTCTTCTTCTGTGGCCTCCTCGTGAATATTAGTGACAAAAACAATCCAACCCTGAAGGCAATAACCCTAGTGACCGCTACATAACACACTAATAACATCAATCCATTTAGCACCTTTTGAAGGATTTGACCAGATGTTTTTCATTTTCATGATAAAGATTGCAGAACGGTTTCTTATGCACACCGATCTCAAGGGAAATTGAATTAAAAGCAGCTTTGACAGTGAAAACATGTTATGTCGTGACACCAGAAATGTTAAAAACTACCTTCATGAAATGTTAGCAAACATACACTACCTCAATGGATCGCTGAGGACCGGTTGAAGTGCCATCAGTTTCTACAACATCATATACAATCCTCTCAGCACGTTGACGAGGTTGCCCCACACCGCGACCCTGCAAATCTTTATCATTTAAACCAGAAGAAAAAAAAATCAAAAAAACGACCTTTGATGATTTCGCATTTGCAACAGTGGTCTCGTCATTTTCCATCTCAACATCAAGTGCCTCCGACATTTTGTTCTGAAAATTTTGTATTTTATTAGAGCTTACTCCCATCAAGCACATGTAGCGCGCCGCATCAGACTGAAGGGCAGCAACTACAGCGAAACATCACGAAAGAAAGAGAGATAAATACATTGCTTTCTAATGTACATAAAATTCAAGCCGTTTGAAAAAAAAGAGATGCAGAGGAAACCCTGCTAGTAAAAACAAAGAAAAAATAAAAAATAAATAGAGCTGATACGACGCGTAACTAAACTGATAGAAACGATTATGAGTGAGGAATTCCTAATGAAATGCAAAATACATAAAAATCGGATAGATTGCAAAGAGGCATGATATCTAGAAATTGAAGCCGCCGCCAACAAGACGACGCATCCGTCGTGTATTTCTATCCTGATCGCGCATTTTCTTCTCAATCTCAGCATCAGTAAGAGTTTCTAAGAAAGGTCCCCATGTTTCAGCCTCAGATGGATTCCTAGAGAAGCAATAAATCTAGCCATGAGCATCAAGAGAAATCAAGGTAATCTACCTAAATGTGCACTCTACAGTAGGTTGGGGACTTTCTGAGAATGCATAGGTCCTCTGATTCCATTGCAGTTGACCACGAATAGAATAGGCGATAGCGGATGTGAATTCTCCACCAAGTCCTAGTTCAGCACATAGGCTCCGAGCAAAGTCTTCAGGGCTATTATTAGGGTCAGACATATCCCATCTGCGATTACACTGTCAGTGAAGCACAAACAGAATCGTGATTGAAACTCACTCAAATTGATCCACAAGACTTTGATTACCGACATTGATATTCAATTTCATAATAGCTCGTTGATCTGTGACATTAGGGTCCAGCGGAGGGGCTTCAGCGGCAGCTTCAAGCTAAATCCAACAATTTTGAGAAAGAGCTATGGTAATCGTGAGAATAAAATTTCAAAGCATAATTTTTGCATGGACCTCAGCATTACATTCCTCAGCCTTGTGATAGTTACCAACCTGCTGATAGATGGCAGATGAGTTACCAACCTGCTGATAGATGGCAGATGCTATAGC